AAAGCGGGCCGCGGGAGGGCAGGGCGCATGCGCGACGCCCCGCCCCTCGGCCAATAGACGGCCTCGAGCCGGCCCGCGACCTTCAGGAGGCCCCGCCTCCTCCGCGAGGCCCCGCCCCCTCGGCGGATATCGCGGCCCCGCGGGCTGCGCGCGGCGCGTCGTGTGCGTGAGCTCGGCTGCGCCCGGCGGTGCGGATGTGCTGCACCTCGCGAAGTTCTGCCGGGCGGCATCCCGTCCCTCAGGCGCGTCTCACTGCCAGCGTCATCGATGGAGATATTAAGCAGGGTTTGCCCCGCTGCTCGTAGAACGGCCTGGGTTGAAAAGGACCGCGGTGACCATCTTGTTTCGACTTCAGGGTCGCCAAACAGATCAAAGCCCAGCCCAAAGAAACCAAAAAATCAATGCCCCCAAATAACTGTGAACTAGTTTGCAAAGGGATCACACGGTCGTTGTATCGGTGAGGCTGCAGTAACTCAGCAGTCCCACTGCGATGCGATGCTGGCCAAGGCTTTGAGTTAATGCCTTTTCTCCTGAGAACGTGGCATCTTTGAGGCTGCTATCCTGAGTTAAAGTGAGCACCAGGAGGCACTCATTGGTATTGAAGATGTCCCCCAGCACAGGGAGGACGTGGAGCACTTGGAATGGGTCCAGAGGGTCTCTAAGATGATCAGAGGGTTGGAGCAGCTCTCACTGAGGAAAGGTTGAGGGAACTGGACTTGTTTAGCTTGGAGAAGAGAAGGCTCCATGGAGCCCTCATTGTGGCCTTCCAGTACTTGAAGGGAGCGTATAAACAGGAGGGGGAACAGCTGTTTGTGAGGGTGGATGGTGATAGGACAAGGGGAATGGTTTTAAACTGAGACAGGGCAGGTTTAGGGTGGATATTAGGAGGAAGTTTTTCACCCAGAGGGTGGTGAGGTACTGGAACAGGTTGCCCAAGGAGGCTGTGGATGCCCCATCCCTGCAGGCATTCAAGGCCAGGCTGGATGTGGCTCTGGGCAGCCTGGGCTGCTGGTTGGTGACCTGCACACAGCAGGGGGTTGGAACTGATGATCACTGTGGTCCTTTGCAACCCAGGCCATTCTGTCATTCTATGTTATGGGGCTAGGGGTGGACAGCTGCCCAGATGGATAACAGATTTGACAAACTGGGGAAGCAGAGTAGGCAAATGAGCTCATACCCTTACAGAGATATGTCAGCAAAACTATAATACTCATCGCCGACAGACATCACTCACCACTGGAACTCACTGAAAGAGCACAGGGCTGGATGCTGGGCTGTGGGACCTGCAGCTGGCAGGGTGAGCCTGGAGGGGCCCCTATCCCAACTGACTGCTCTGCTCTTAACAGTTGTCCTGGGAAGTGTTGGTAAGGGCTGGATTCCTCCCAGCCATGCCAAATGTCTCAAGGTGCTTGGTGTGCTACGAGCCAGAGCAAAATCTATACCAACCACTCAAGTCACAGCTTTATGGGTGTGAAGGCAGAATGAAGTGATGGATGCTAAGCCCATCAGACCGGACTCTGAGGCTACTGAGAGCTAAGCAGTGCCACAGTTAATGGATATCTCTTACCAGAACATAAGAGTGCCAGGTGTGTTGTTCAGCTCTGTCCATTAGGGATATCCCAGCTGTGTTTCTGGGTCTCCTCTTGCAGGAGTTTACATCACAAGCAGCTCATAAACATGCCAAGCCCAAGCTTGTACATCATCCTATTACCCTCTTGAAATAACTTCACATCCAAAACAGCATTAAAGAATAATTTCAGTAACTCCAACAGAACAGACAAAAGGGGAGAACAATCACAACTTTAAATATATTTATTAGTTGTGCGTGCAAATATGTTCTGTATAACATCTCCATAGCTAAATCCACTGCAGGCTTACCATCAAAGTGCTGCTTTTTAATGAACCAAGACCTGTACATCCAGATTTATCACACTCATTTCTCACAAGTAGGGCTGGTCTTTTGAGATTTCCCACTTCTTAAGCACCGGCCCCGGCGTCACTGGCTTTTTGTCAGTTGCTGTCACTGCAGAGCTTGAGCTGGGGTAGAAAAAGAGAAGACGCTGTACTAGAGAAAAGCACAGACAATCACTTCAGCATTCTTTTAAGCTATGAAAGCTGCCAGCACTGCTTGTTATCACAGAATCATAGAACAGCCTGGGTTGAAACAGATGTCAAAGATCCAGCTTCAACTCCCCTGCTATATGCAGGGTCACCAGCCACCAAACCAGGCTGCTCAGCGCCACATCCAGCCTGGCCTTGAATACCTGCAGGGATGGGGCATCCACAGGTGCAAGAAGAGCAACGTTTTGGTGCAAACCACGACGCTCACACCAGCTCTGGGCAGAGGGGCTCCCACCTACCTGCTGCCCTCAGCCCCCGCTGCGAGGGTTTTCAGCCCCGAAGCGACCACGATAGGCGGGCCCGCCTCCCGGCGCCCATCCCGGGTGCAGTAATAGTTGTCAGCGAATTTGTGGCTGGGGCCCACCGGTAGCCGGGGCGGCGGCTGCGTCCTGCAAAGGTGTGAGAGCTCCAGCACAAGGGCTGCTGCCAGAAGGCCTCAGCGCCGCCGGGTTAAAAGGGAGCAGCGCCGCCCCCCCACACAGCGGTACCTCTTGGAGATCTCCGTGTAGCGCAGCGCTAGCTTGGCCTGGAGGTCCCGCTGCAAGGCAAGGCGAGAGAACCTCAAGCGGAGGCCACCACAGCGCGGCCGCCGAAGCTCGCCAGCAGCAAGCAGGACGCGCGATGCCGCGGGTCGGAGCCGCCCTTACCCCCGCCAGGAAGTTACGGAGCCGCTGGATGAGCCGGGTGGCCGTCGCCATCTTGGCTGTTGTGAAGGGCAGCGAGGGGCGGGGGCGGGAGGCCGCGGTGCATGTTTGGCCCCGCGAGACTTGGGGAGCCGAAAACCGGGGGGGGGGAGGAGGGGGTTTATGCTGAACGTCGCGAGATTTGGATGTGCGCAAGGTGAGGCTGTGCAGCGGGAACGCACGAGGTTTGCTAAGTCTCGTGAGATTTACTGAGTCGCGCGCGATTTACTGGATCCCGCGAGCTTTGTCTCTATATAAAGCGCCGCAGGGAGGCCCCTCCCCCTTCCTGCCGCCAGAGCCGCCATGGACACGAGCCGCGTGCAGCCCATCAAGCTGGCCAGGGTGGGGGCGAGGGGCCGCGAGGGGCTCCGGGGGGCTCCGGGGGGCGGGGCGATGTCCCGGTTCTGACGCGCCGCTCTGTGTCCGTAGGTCACCAAGGTGCTGGGCCGGACCGGCTCCCAGGGGCAGTGCACGCAGGTGAGCGGGCCGCTGGGCCGGGCCGCGGGACCGCCGAGCCGCGATGACGCTTTGCTTCGCCTCAGGTGCGCGTGGAGTTCATGGACGACACGAGCCGCTCTATCATCCGCAACGTGAAGGGACCGGTGCGAGAGGGAGACGTCCTCACCCTGCTCGAGTCGGAACGCGAGGCACGGCGGCTGCGCTGAGCTCTACGGGCCGCCCCAGCTGCACGGCCGGGCCCGCACCGCGCTGCTGATGGGCGCTGCGTGCGTTTGGAGCGGCCTGCAGCGAGATGGAGAGCAGCGCGGCGTTGGTGGTTGCTCAATAAAAGTTTTTTTTCCAGTAGTTTTTTGCCTGCTTATTGAATATTTTAGCTTTATAGGTGCCTTTGTGTGCGGGTCGTCAGCCTTTGGTTTGGGGCTCAGTAAGGGGACCAAAGCCTGCTCTTGGAACTGTGCTTGTACATGATGCCTTCATCCTGATGTTGTTCTGTTCCTGTATTTTTGGTTAACTTGTTACTTGCAACAAAGCTAACTTTATTTTGGTTACAGCAACCTCGTTTCAGACTGTTCTGCTAGCTCTGTATGTAACCAGCAGGGAGGTACTGCTATGCTTGCAGTTCCTCTATAGAGTTCTATTATAATTTGGGAGGCAACTTACCAGCCTGCAAAGTAACTGCCTGCTGCCTCAGCCTTTCTGTCCTCAGTAAGCAATTCCATCAGTGCTGCTATAAATACAGCTCCTTGCTGTCTTTCCTGGCAGTCACCCACAGAGAGCAAGTGTTACCTTTCCTCTTCGAGGTGTCAGTAAATCAACATCAGTGCCTGCAGCTTTCGCTTCTGCCACAAGATCAGCCAGAAGAGTTTATTTTAGGCCACTAAATAAAGGTAGAGGTAGGACAAAATATGAAGAGTCGGTCTGAAAACTGTCACAGTGCAGGTGGGAATCTTTGTCTTCCTTCAATGCCCTGAACCTCGTTAAGGCACTTCAGGGACCGGGAAGAAAGCTTGAGCTTCCAAAAGCTGAGGAGAGCATTTGCAGAGCTGAATGTTCCAATCACTGAGCTTAGGATTGTCAGGTATGTGCATGTGCTGTTGCTTTATCTGATTCTTGTTTCCTCTTTGATGTCCCTTTAATTTCAGATCATAGAGTGAGCCTGCCTTTCCTTGGTTCTTGTGGCACAGCAGAGCTCTCCAGGCCTGGCTCAGTGCAAGGAGAGGCCTGCTGTGGAGTTCTCTTATCTGGCTGCTTTTCATTCCCAGCATAGCATTGGCCGTGACCAAAGAATGTGGTGTGCTGAGAACAGGCAACAGAGCAGAGCTGCCTGCTGTGCTGCTGAGTGGCACAAGGCATCAGCTGTGAGCAGGTGACCAGGTGGGCATGCATTTGTAGTGAGTGGGGTGGCTCGGAGCAGCTGTAGCCCTCCCCACTTGTCTCTGTGTGGTCACTGCACCCTCCTGCCCTGCAAGGACCTCACAGCCTCGTTCTGCTCCGTAGCAATACAGCTGTACAGCGTTAGCAGCAGGGAGCAAAGGGCTGCACCTGGTCTCGGTGTTACATTTGCTTCTGTGAAGTGAGACAAGCCAGAAGCCATCAGCTCACAGGACCTGAATCCAGGCTTCGGGTTTTCTGCTCTGAAATAAAAAGCACCACAGATGGATTTAGGCAGTTCAACAAACCTGTGGGGTTGGAGTGCAGAGGGCCGGGGCTGTAACCAGACAAAGAGGCAGGAGAGTGTTGATGGTGGCTGTAATATTTCAAAATAAGTTTAAATTTTATTTGTCTTAAAAATAAACACCAGTATAAAAATGTCAGTAAACAGATGTGTGAAACAAAAGCGGTGAGTATGGAGTACATACAGAGCGGTGTACTGGAGAGTGGCTGCAAGCATCGTGTAGTAACTTCAGTGCAAAGCCGAAACAAGGTGAGAACAGCGCTGTGCTGCCCGGAGCAGCTCTCCTGGGAGCATTTCCCAGCCTGTGAGCTGGCTCAGAGCCGGCCTTGTGTGCCTCAGTGGAGGAAGAGGAGCCAAGGGGCAGCAGTGGGGGCTGCAGCATCGCTTACCTTAGAGCAGGGCCTGCTTCGCATGCAAAAGCCTTCTTGTTCTGTTTGCTGCCAGTCCTCGTCCTCACCTTGTCTGTTCCCACCCTGCCTGGCACACGCACACTTGCACAGACACATTCCTACGTCCGTGTCCATCTCTGCAGGCCCTAGGCTCTCTGTGAGCTCTTCTTGCTGCTCTATTTCTGGAGCTAGCAGCCCTGCTCCTCCCCTTGGGGAGGGCAAGCAGGCTTGTGAAGGCAGCGACGGCCCCCGGATGGTTGGTGGCTGTGGGACTTTCAAAATGGGAAATGCTTGTGGGCTGACTCTCATCTCTGTGGCTCCTGGCGCAGGCTGGGCAGTCTCAGTCCCTAAATGCAGCTGTGGCTCTCATCTCTTCTGTCAGCTCGGCTGCAACCCTGAGCACCCAGAAGTTTTGGCTCCCGTTGAGCAAATCAAATCATGGAGTGATTTGATGTTCAACTTTATATATATATATATATATTGCTTAGTGTGTGTGTATATATATATAATTTTTTCTTTTGTGTGCATGTGTTAGAGAAGAGCCAGGTTTCTGTTGGGAAAGGAAATGCCAGGAAAGACGAGCGCATATTTCAGTCTGCAAATGCTCCTGTGGCCGCAAGGCAGCTGCTCCGTGTCCCCTCTCCCACTGCTGCTGCTGCCTGCCCTCCCACAGCCCTGCAGAGCTCCTGCAGCTGCAGCGGGACACTTCCTGCACTGAGGCCCAGGACAGTGCCTGCTCTGTCGAGCGGAGATGGAAAACATCCGCAGCCTCAGGGAGCGATTCAGCACGCGAAGGAGCAGCAGGAAGGGGGACAAGTGACAGCCTGGCTCTGATGGCGGCCCGCTGGCACGCAGCCGGATCCAAAGGTCACTCTAATTTGGTTTCTTTGGGCTCACAGGGCTCTTGGTGCCCGCTGTTGACGTCCCCTGCTGCGGAGAAGGAGTAGAGTCAATGAATGGCACCACAGACCCCTCCAGTGGCTCCTGGTTGGGGCCGGCCAGGCTGATCCCCTGCCACCAAGGCTGTGCTGAGCATCTGCCACCCATGGGACGCTGCTGTTGCCTCCACAGCACCTTCCTTGGGTACCGTCAGCTGCTCTCACTTGAGCCACAGCCCCCTTTCCGTCCCGCTGTGTCACCTGCCCGCTGGGCAGCCCTACTGGCGGTGTGGTGCCACCTCTGTGTCCCTTACAAGGACTGAGGGGGCTGCAGCACTCACCTGAGGCTGTGCCTTCGTCCCGTTGAGGTGGGCATACAGGAGCACTGCAATGTTGCTGTGTCCTGCCTCCAGCGCGATGGTGACAGCGTTGTTACCATCCTAAGGAGGACAGGAGAGCAGTTGGGAGAGGTTTGGGTCTGGGTCTGGGGGTGGGTGCGTGTGCTCAGGCCCTGGCAGAGAAGCCTTACACTGTCCACGATGGAAACGTCGCAGGTGGGCTGAGCCAGCAACAGCTTCACAGTCTCCACGCGGCCGTGCTCGCAGGCACACATGAGTGCAGTCGAGCCTTCCTCATCCTGCAGGTTCACGTCGGCTCCGCAGGCCAGCAGGGCTTCCACCATCTCCTGCCGCCCGTGGCTGACGGCCAACATCAGTGCTGTCTGGCCGGCCTGTGACACGAGGAACACTGCCAGGATGGTTCTACCCTAGCTGGGCCACCTGCTCGTCCCGCAGCTGTCCCCAATGCCCATGTGGGCTCTGAGCACCTCCTTGCCTGATGCTGGGTGGAAGGAGCTTCCTGATATGATGCCCTTCCCAAATACCGGCCCCTCGGGGTGAACTCAAGTGAGCACGGAGCCAGGAGCTGCTTGCAGGGGGTCAGGATGTAGTGACCCCCAGCTTACACCAACCTGGCTGGCCTTGGCGTTGACGTTGCCCATGCTGAAGAGCCTCCTGACCACATTCATGTCGTCTTCCTGCTCCACGGCCGCCAGAGCTGCCAGCATGAGGGCTGTGTAACCAGCTTTGTTCTGGTGGTCCACATTGCAGACCCCTGTGGGAAAGGGCAGAGGAGGGGTTTGGGGCGCTGCTCCCAGGGCATCCCAGCAGCAGGATGTTTATGGGGCTGTGCAGACTCAGGGGCACCCACCTGTGTCCAGCAGCAGCTTCACAATGTGGAAGTTGGAGTGGGAGACGCTGTAGTGCAGGGCTGTGTTGCCATTCCCATCGGCCAGGTTGACCACGTGGGCCAGGAGGGCCGGTGAGAGCTCAGCAAAGGCCAGGAGGTGGTTGGCAACCGTGTCGGGGATGGATGACTTCTGGCTGGACAGACGGAACCACTCCTGCAGGACCAGGCTGCTGCTGGCGAGCTGCAGGCAGTGAGTGGGGCTGAGCCCCTGCACGGGACAGAGGCAGGACCCCTCAACCCAGCCCCACAGAGGGACAGCCCAGAGTCTATGTGGGATTTTGGGATCTCAGGGCCATGCTTTGGGAAGAAAAGTGCTGCTACGAGCATTGCTGCCCATCTTAGGGGAGGGCTGGCCTGGTGGTACCCATCCCACCCGCAGCACCCAACTCACCGCCTCCTTGCTCTTGGTGGCTGTGGGGTGGCCCAGGTGAGTCTTAACAATGAGGCAGGCCTCCCGCATCCTGGGGCTCAGCTCGAACCTGGGGGGCACAAGGTGGTTATGGCACCAAGGGCACGGAGCCCTCGCCCCCCCCAGCCCTGAGGTTTCACTCCTCTCCCCGATTCCTTGCACCCCCCCCAGGGAACGTCCCCATCGCTGGAGCCCTCCCCCCAGTTCTGTGGCCATGCCCCTGGGGGGGGTCCAGCCTGCCAAACACAGCCTTATACGGACACGCTCAGACACTGATCTGCCCATTTTTAGGCTGAATTTTTTCCTTTGTTAAAAAACGCCTTTTTTTTTTTTTTTTTTTTTTTTTTCCATCACTCCTGTAGAAAAGACCCAGCTGCAGCCTTGTTCTCAGGGTTTCCTTAGCAGATCAGTGACGCTGGAACTACTTTTCCTGCCCGATGCTTTCTGCAGGACATGAGTGTTTTTCCCATCAGCAGGACCGCAGCACGGTGCAGGCGCAGCACTTACTTCTCCTTCACCTCGGGGGGCTCTGGAGGGGCCGTGCTGGCCCCCTCACCCTCCTGCTGCCTGCTCAGCTCGCTTTGTCCGTCCCCATCCTCAGCATCCTCTTCTTCCTCCTCCGAGGTGTCGGTGCCCCCCGGCTCCTCACTGTCAGAGCTGTCAGCTGAAACCTTCTCGGAGGAGCTGTCTCCTTCCTCTTCTTCCTCCTCCTCCTCACTGGATGTGCTTTCGTACCTGCACAGAGAGGGGCTCAATGGCTGCACCCACCTGGTCCCCCCTATTGCCCCGTGGCTGGGGGAAGGGGCAGCCCGCCGGGCCCACAGGGACCCTGAGCACATACTCCCCGTTCAGCACGCCCACGAACTGCAGGCTCTTCTTGCTCCCCTCAGCCTCGCTCCGAGGAGGTCCGTCCCGCTTCTTCATGATAGATTTCAGGGCTCCTGCAGCACAGAGATGGGATCAGGGCCCGGTGAGTCGGGGGGCACCCCGAGCCCCCACCCAACTCACTGGCTGCAGGGCTGGGTGCCGCTCTGCCGTCCCGTGCCGGCTCCTGGCCGCCGTCCTCCACCTCCGCCGAGAGGACTGTGGGATGAGCGGCAGCCCCTATGGCTCCCAGCACTGCTGCACGCTGCGGGGGGGGGGCACTGGGGCTGCCTGGGGGGGGCTGCTGGCATCCGGCCTCACACACGGCGGGCTCTGTCTGCTCACAGGCTGGGACGGCGGGGCCCACGCTGGTGGGACGTGGGTCGGCAGCGCCTGTATCGGCAGAGCCTGGGCCGGTGGGGCCCACGTGGTCAGGGCTGGGGTCAGCAGGGCCGGCACCGACGGGGTCTGCATTGGGGGGGCTCACGTCGGCCTGGCTGCCTTTATCTTCACGGCCCACGGCCACATCGGGCCCCACAGCCACGTCCCGCCCGTGGGGCCGGCAGCCCACCCCGACGCAGGCGGTCTGCGGGGCGCAGCCCACGGCCACATCCGCCGTCTCCACACTCTCTCCGGCCGCCTGGCTCTGCGTGGCCACCGCCGCCTCCACCACAGCCTCGGCCACCTGCGGCCTGGCCGTCACCTCCTTGTCCACACGGCCGCGCGGCTGCCGGGCGCACACCTCCATGCGCAGCTCCTCCAGCTCGCGCGTGGCCTCCCGCAGGTGCCCCTCCATCATGGCGATCACGTCCTTCTGGTGCCCCACCGTCTGCTGCAGCAGCTCCAGCTCCCTCTCTGCCTCCGGGGCCAGGCCCAGCGAGGACTCCAGCACCCACACGGCCGCGTCCCGACGCTCCCTGCCTTCCGGCACGTCGCCGCCCTGCTGCTGTGATCGGTAGTAGAAGACAGCGTCGCTCATGGCCCGCTCCTCGCCCACCGCCACGGAGCGGCACTGCCTCTCTGCAGCCCTGGGCCTGGCTGCCACGCTCTTGCCCTGCACGCTGCGGCCGCCCCGCTCCGGCACGGCCAGCTTCTCTGTCAGCTTCCTCAGCTCTGCTATCTTGCTCGCTCGTCCCTTCGCCGGCTCCACGTCTCCCTCCGGCTCTGCGTGGGGCTGCTCCTCGCTCCCATCGGGATGATCCAACAACACCTTGCCGGGCTCCGCCACCAGCTTCTCCATCAGCTTCGCCTTCTCCCGCTGCAGCTCGCAGATCTGCATCTCCAGCAGCGGGATGGTTTTCACCTGCTCCTCCAGCTCCCTCAGCTGCCGCAGGGCCGCGGCCATCTGCTCCCTCACGTGCTGCAGTGGGGCCGTCCCGAGCCCCGCGGCCGGAGTGCTGCGCCCTGAGCTGCCGGGGCTCATCCGCACGGAGCCCGGCTGGCCCTCGGACCCTGCCGGCACCCATGGGTGCACCTGGCTCGGGGCGCCCGGCTGCGAGCGGCTCTGCTCCTGCTCCAGCCTCCTGCTCGTCTCCAGCAAGGTCTTCTCCACCTGCGGGTTTCGCGCCAGGCACTTGCGGGCAGGAGGTGGGAGCAGCCGCACCGCAGGCGGTGGGGACGTGGGGAGCGAGGTTTGCTTGCCGGGGGGCTCGGGGACCCGGCCGTGCGGGGACAGCAGCAGTGCACCCCTCCCATCCTCGCTGAATGTGGAGGCCAGGGACTCGGTGGAGGTCCAGGCGCTGGGGTGGCTGCTGGGGCTGCGCAGTGAGCCAGGCTGTGGCCGCGTCCCTTTCGCCCTGCGAGGCAGCGGCACCTTCTTGAGCGTTTGGCCGCTTTCGATGTCATCAACATATTTCAGGAAATCCAGGTCCAAGAGGAAACCATAGGGGGTTTCCACCGAGTACGAGCTCTTCTCGCCATCGTCCTGGTCCCTGTACAAGAACGGGCCCCCGAGATCTGCAAGGCAAGCAGAGATGCTCAGGCAGTGGCCTGGTGGAGGCGGGAGGACATTTCTGCTGCGCTGTACAGGGATGCTGCTGGAGGTGACATGGTGGACGGCCCCCCCGGCACCTGCGTGCCATCGGGTGCTGCAGGACTCTGCTCTGCTTTGAACTCAGTGCTGGGATGAGGAAACCCATCGGCTCAGTTCAATCCTGCATCCAGTGGCGCCCCCCACCCCCAATTGCCACATGCAGCTCTGGTCCCTTTACCTGGCAGGTTCTGGTTCAGGTGTGCAGGCTGAGCCATCTTCTCCCCGCAGTGCTGCCGAGCAGGGGACCATCAACCTGAAACGACAGCGGGGCCCCATGCTGCAAAACACTGCAATCCAGCCCCACACCGCTCCCCCAGCTGGGGTACCCCAACCCCAAAGCTGGGCCACATCCCTGCAGCCATGCCCCGACTCTGCCTGGCTCCCTCCTGGTGCCTGACAGCTGGAGCTGCTCCCAGGGATTGTTTGTACATTTAAGGAATGCTTTGCAGCCTGGGCCGACCGCGCTGCCAGCTCTGAGGGTGCAAAAAGCCATGAGTCAGAGTGGGGAGAAGGAGCAGGGCACCGAGCCTCCAGGCAGTGAGAAATCTGCCCAGGATCACAGAAACTGATGCTTCCCAAAGCCACACGACCACCAGCAGCTTCCAGCACCCGTCACTGCTTTGCACCACGTCTCCCACCCCGCCGGGGCTGCTCGGTGTTCCCAGGAGGAACCTGGCTGCTTTTCCTGATGAAAGCACAGGAGAAGGAGTGGTGGGGGGGGGGGGGGGTGAAATGGGAGCCTGGCTTTCCCAGGAGCCAGGCACGCGCAGGCTGGGTGGGAGCCAGCGGGATGCCCGCCCAACCACGAGCCTGGCACTCAGCGTAAGGAGCAATGAGAATTAGTGTTTCCCTTCCCTGCAGGAGAAAGGCACAGAAAGGGGCTGGGCCGTTCCTGTGAACCCAACAAGAGGCGAAGGAAGGGAAATGGCAGCGTGGGCCGCGCTCCAGGGGTGAGCTCACAGCCCAAGGAGCTGCGCTGCTCAGCCCCAACCTGCCGCAGCATCTCTGCATGGGGCAGCGGGAACAGCGCTGCCAGGTGGGAAACGGCCGCACCACAGCGATCCGTGCGCTGGAACGGCCCATCTCAGCTTCCCCAACCCAAGGCAGGCAGCTCTCAACCCTCAGCGATGTCCCCGGGGCTCAGGGGCTGCCTGCATCCACCCTCACAGCTCCGGGGCTGCGCTCTGGGCGCTTTGTTCCCCATACCCCATGGAAGCCATGCAGAGAGGAGCCCTAAGCCCCTAAATTGAAGCGCATCCCCTCCTCGCTGAGCCGGGGAAGTGCTCGGTTTCCTCCTTGCGGGTCATTAAGCAGCGCCGAGGCCAGGATAAACTTCCCCTGAGCACCGCTGTGAATCGAGCGGGAGGAAAAGGGAGAGCAACAGGAACGGCTGCACGGCCCCGGCGCTCCCTTCCGCCTCGCGACCGGGAATTGTCCTGCCTGGGGCCGCGCCAGGAACAGCTCTGGCCCCGCTCCAGCCCCGCTCCGGCCCCATAAGAGCCGGGCATCACGATGCTTCCTGCACGGCTCGGGCCACGGCGCCCTTTCTCAGCGCTGCTCCACGCTGCTGGCCATGCGTGCGCACCCACCTGCGCCAGAGGACAGGAGAGCATCAGCTCTGCTCTGAGGATGAGAAGCGGAGGCGGACAGAGGTGGCACACCGTAGTGAGAGGGTTAAGTCTCTGCCGTCACCTGCTGGGTTTGGCTGCACAAGGCCAGCCTTGTCCCCTCGCCCCAGCAGCCTCCAGCGCCGTGGCACGGCTTCAAAGAGCGGCCGCTCTCCGTGTCCCGGCAGGAGGAGCACGGCGGCTTTGTTGCTGCAGGTGGAGCACAGGGCTGGGCAATGCAGGCTGTGCCCACACCCCACCTTGCACCCCCTGCCCCCCGATGCTCTGCTCGAGGCACCGCTCCAGCAGGCAGGAGGACCCCGCGCCGACCCCGCTGATGCTGAAGCTTCTGGCACCGGCGTTTCCCCACGCAGGGGCAGAGCGATGCCAGGCCCGGCCCGGCTGTGCCATCCGTGGGGCTGCAACGGGGCGACGGCAGTCGTGGGTGGACACACTGACAGCACTCAACAACCTTCCTCTGAGCCAAACACTGAGGTCATGAGGAATGTGAGAAGAACAGAGTCCAGAGCAGCCCTGGCCACTGCAGCTTGATTTATCTCAGCAGGCACGTTTCCCTCGAAGCTGCGTGCAGCGATAAGCCCCAAAACCCAAAGTTAAAGGGAAAGCACTGAGCACAGGCAGCTTCCTCCACAGCGGGAGGGCCGGAGCTGCCAGCACCCTGCTGTGATTCGGGATCCTTGCATGGAGCCATTGTGGTGACACGTCCGCACGTCCCCTGCGATGCCACAGCAGTGCAGCAGGATGCGTACGGCTGGGTGATGCTCAGCACCCCTCCCCCTGCCCCTAAGGAAGGGGACAACCAGCTCCACTCACACCCCCTGCCACCATGCTGTCCCCACCGCCCGCCTGGCCACACTGCCAGCCCAGCACCCATAGTGCAGCCCAGCAGCACGTCCCACCAACAGCTCCCAGTCCCTTTGGGGCTAGTGACAACAGCTGTGGGTTCCCTGAGGGCTGAGCCCTCTCCATCTGAGAGCATCTCCACCGCACGCCATGTGCCTACAGCAGCCCAGGGGTCCCACGGCCCCCCCAGATCCCCACCACCATGGGGTTCCCCAAAACACTCCCAGCACCCCAGGGAGATCCACAGCTCCCCCAGTTCTCCAGGACCCCATTACTATGGGGCTCCCCACAGCACCCCCAGATCCCCATCACCATAGGGAGCCCCGCAGCACCCCCAGCTCTCTGGGTCTCCAACACCACGGTGTGTCACATTTCTGGGGGTCTCCATCACCATGAGGTTCCCCACAGCACCCCCATGTCCCCATCACCACGGCGTGTCACGTAGCACCCTACTTCTGTGGGTCTCTAATACCACGAGGCTTCCCACTGCACCCCCAGGTTCCCAGCACCCCAGGGAATGCACCGTGTCCCCAGCACCATGGGGTGCCCCACAACATCCCCAGGTCTCCATCACCATGAGGTGCCCCACAACACCCCACTTCTCTGGGTCCCTAGCACCATGGGGAGCCCCCATAGCACCCCCAGATTCCCATCACCACGGGGTGCCCGGCAGCACCCCACATCCGTGGTCCCCACCACGCCGGGGAGCCGCGCAGCACCCCCATCCTAAGACCCCCCAGGACTTCCCTTTTCCCATGCAAAGCCGCAGAGCCCGGCCCGACCCGACGGAACGCAGCCCCCTCTCCGGCCCCGCTCCGCGTCCCGCCCGCCCGCGATGCCCGGGGCCGCCCCACCCCTCCGCGGTCCCGGCAGCTCCGACGCGGCCCCTCCGCGGGCCCCGAGCGGCGGCCCCGTCCCGCAGCCCTTACCGAGCTCCCCCCGCCCGCCGCTCCCGCATCCCCCTCACCTCGGGTCCGGGCCGGGCGCGGGGCTGCAGCCCAACGCGGGGCCGCTCGGGGCCCGGCGGCTGTAGGTCGGAGCCCGGCGGGGCGGGCCGGCAGCGGGGCCGGGGGGGGGGGGGGGGGGGGGGGCGGGAGCCCTTTTCCTTTCCCTCCCAGCGCGATCCATCCCGAGCCCTCGGGTGTTTTTCCAGCGCTCTTCCGTAACGCGGCTCGCGGGAAGAGCGGCACTGTTGGAAAGGGCGTTTGTGCCAAAAATGGTGGATTTCGGAGCCGGGAGCTGCGGCTGAGCCGTGCGGGGCTCTGCGGTCCGCAGTCCCGACTTTGCGTTCCCGGGAGCGGCCGTCGGGGCGAGAAGTTCTGCAACCCGACGGGTTTTCGGTTCATAGGAAACATCGAACCACTTTTTTTTTTTTTTTTTAAGTCAGAAGAGCGTCTCGTAGGGCTGCTTTCCCTGCGAGCCCACTGCTCTGCTCCCTGCCAGCCCCGCCTGTGCCCCTACACGCGGCCGTGCCTCAGTTTCCCCATCGCAACGGCAGCAGTGCTCCCAAATCCGCCGTGTCCCCACCGAGCGCTGCGTGCCGCTCTCTCCATCTCCGTGTCCCCCGCCGTGTCCCCGCGCTTTGTGTCACCCCGTGTGCCCTCCCGTCCCCGGGCAGCCCCGCCAACCCCCCCGCAGATGCCCGCTCTGATCTCGCCGGCCGCAGGTGCCACCCGTCGGGTTCCGGCTCTTATCTCAGGCGACGCCTTTGGGAAGGCCGGGCGGCTTTTTTGTACCCGGCCCTGTTGGGAGAACGCTTCGCAGTTCTGCCGTGCCGGGGTTTGCTTTGGCCGCAGTCCAGCGGTACCGGGGGGGGATCGGCCCCTTCCTGCCGTTACACGGCCATAAACGCGTCCCAAAGGTGCCGCAGGCAGAACTTCCCAGCGCCTCCGGCCATCCCTGCCCTGCACTTTTCGGCCGGACCTGGGCACGGTGATGGGGTGGGAGCAGAAGGCTGGAGCCCTTCCCAGGCTCGGGGAACGCCTTCCATCGCCGAGCAGCACCAGAAGCGAGAGGCCGTGTGCTCAGCGGTGGGACGGCAGCCCCATGGCAGCCCCAGCGGGTGACGCCAGCTCAGCTTTACCCACCATTTCCCGTCACCCCGCAGAGTGGGATTGGGGCGGGTTGATGTGCTCCAGGGCCACAACGCGGCCCCAGAACGCCTGCGGGCCCTCAGCAGCCTAAATGACCCCAGCCGGGTCCTCGGGACGAGGGAGCCAGCAAACATCTCTCCGTCCCTCCATCGGGAACCATTCCCGGCAGCCTCCCCCACCTCCGCCCTCGGGCTCTCAGCATCCGCCCCTCGTTTGACATTTCCAGCGGCGCTCTCCCAGAGCCTCCCCTGCCCTCCGCGGGGCCGCACAGCCCCTCCATTGACGGCGGCAGAAAAGCCGCATCTGTTCCCGGCGCACAATCGGATCATTGACGGCAGCGCTGCCGCGGGGCCGGAGATTCTTTCCGCACCGCTTCCCCTCCGTGGGCTGTTCCGCATCCCGCGTTAAGGGACCGCATCCCTCCTTCCGCGTGGGGCGGATGCGGGAAAGGAGCGGATCGATCTCGGGCCACCCCTCCCGGCCCCGCGGCCCCCGGGGGCGGCACCGAACCGAGCTCCGGGCGCGGCCGGGAGGGGGCGGTGGAGGGCCGGGGAGAGCGGAGACGGCGGGGGGAGCGGGGCGGAGGAGCGGGTGGGAGGGGGGTGCGGAGGGGTGGTGATACAGGGGGGTGCATGGGGCGCTTGCATGGGGTGGGTGCGTGGGGTGGGAGCTGCAGGGGGGTGCATGGGGTGCTGAGGGTACGTGAATAGGGTGGGTGAATGGGGTGGGTGCTGCAGGGGGTGCATGAGGTGCTTGCGTGGGGTACCGAGAGTGCTTGTGTGGGGTGCACGCATAGGGTGGGTGCTGTAGAGGGGTGCATGGGGTGTTGAGGGTGCTTGCATGGGGTGGGTGCATAGGGTGGGTGCTGCAGGGGAGTGAGGAAGGGGGGTACACTGGGTGGGTGCATGGGGTGAGTTCATGGGATGGGTGCTGCAGGGGGTGCATGTGGCACATGCATGGGGTGCTGAGAGTGCTTTCATGGGATGCATGCATGGTGTGGGTGTTGCAGAGGGGTGGTGATAGAGGGGAGTGCGTGGGGTGCATGCGTGGGGCGGTGCTGAGGGTGTATGCATGGGGTGGGTGCATGGGGATGAGTGCTGCAGAGAGGTGCCTGGGGTGCCTGCGTGGGGTGCTGAGGGTGCTTTCATGGGGTGGGCGCTGCAGGGAGGGTGCTGCGAGGGGGTGCGTTGGGTGGGTGCATGGGATGGTTGCTGCATGAGGGGTGCGTGGGGTGCTGAGGGTGCTTGCATGGAGTGAGTGCATGGGGTGGGTGCTGCAAGGGTGCGTGGGGTGGGTGCATGGGGGATGTGCATGGGGTGGGTGCTGCAGGAGGATACGTGGAGATGGGTGGATGGAGGGAGTGCGAGAGGTGGGTGCCCCGTGCCACAGGGGGGTGCATGGGGTTCGTGCATGGATGGGTGCTGCAGGGGGTGTGTGGGGTGAATGCGTGGGGTGGGTGCTTCGGGGGGGGGTGACGCAGAAGGTGTGGGGTGCTAAGGGTTTGTGCTTGGGGTGGTGGCTGCAGGTGGTTGTACAGAGTGGGTGCTACAGGTGGACACCTGGAGAAGGTGCACAGGGTGTACGCATGAGGTGGGTGCTGCAGCTGGGTGCACAAGATGGGTGCATGAGGTGGGTGCACGGGCTGGGTGCTGCAGAGACCTACGTGGTCATGAGAGGGTTAACCCTAACCCTACCCTAGCCCTAACCCTAAAGATAGGTGCTGGAGTGGGTGCTGGGTTGGTAGAGGTGAGAAGGGTGCATTGCATGGGAATCTGGGATGGGTGCTGAGGGTGTGCGAGAGGAACGGGTGCTGGAAGTGGGCACTGGAGGTGGCAAAGGAGAAAGTGTATTGTGCAGGAACCTAAGATGGGTCCTGGAAGGGGTGAGCTGAAAATGGGCACCCGTGGTGGATGCTGGGGGTGGATGCATGGGGTTGGTGCTGGGTGGGTACTGAGGGTGCACAGGATGGGAGCCCAGGACAGGTGCAGGGGGTGGGTGAGGGCTGGGTGCTGGATGCCTGTGTTGGGTGCCTGGGGTGGATGCTGGGGGGCTGTGGGTAGCAGTTGGGTCGTGCTGGGGGGTGGGGGCAGCCCCTCTGTGCAGGTGTTGGGATGATGGCAGCAGGGATGAGCCAAAGAAGCTCTCTGTCCCCCACCCTGATCCGTGCATCCCCCCAGTGCTCCCAAATGCCAGTGCACAGCATGGAGCAATGTGGAGAGATGCAGATAATGGGGACAGAAAGGCTGAAGGTCCCGGATTGCAGCCGCCAGCCCTGCGGCACCGCCACACACCGCATATTTTGCCCTGCATACGTGGGGCCAGCAAACAACCAGCAGCAGTGCAGGGGCAGAGCATCCCTTCTGCACCCCTGATGAGCCAGGAAAGTTCCACCACCCGAAGCCCTTCGGCCTCTCCAGCAGGTGGGTGGCTGAGGCTCATTTCGGGGGGCTGCTGCCATGCCAGTTTGCTCCTCCCCACCCCCCTTCCTATGCCTGAAGCTCTGCAGGGGACGTCTGGGGACAGGGATGCGTGACAGGCATTTAGCAAAGCAATCTTGGAGCAGGCTGAGCTCTGCCCAGCCATCAATCATTTAGAGCTGTTAATTTTTAATGTGCAAAAATCTCTCTTGGTGAGCAGCGCAGCGCGGAGTGAGGCTGATGATTAATTCAGGTGGTGACGCACCGATGTGAGAGCAGGGAGTGCTGCTGGGAGCGGGCATGGGGCACACGAGTGGCACTCAGTGGTGCAGTTAAGCAGAGAATGACCCATATGGAGCGATAGGATGGAGAGGAAAGCACCAAGTGAGGGCATTCTGCTCCAGCAAATGGCCCGGCTGTGCTGCTTCAGAGGTGAATGGAGAAGATGCTGTTGAAAATTGGGTTTTTGAGGCTCCAGGTGGGTTTGCAAATCCCCAAATTCCACGTGAGTCACAGAGGAAGGAGTGATAATGGAAGGGCTCCACTTTCGGGAAGGAAAGCTTAAATAATTAAGCGGCGTAGTGAGGTGGAAATGAATGTACAGAAGGTTTGGGGGTCCCTGGAAGGGAGCAGAGATGAAAGGAATGGCTTTGCTACAATATTCATAAAGCTGCAAAGGCAGCGGCACGAGAGCCTGCAAAGGAGGTGGTGGTGGAAGCATCAGTGCAGTGGCACTGGGGGTCAGCACTGGGAATGGGGCTGGGAGGCACTGGGCATTGATGCCATGGAGATCCTGGTTACTGGGTAAGGGGTGTTTGTGCTGGTAGTGGGTATGGGGTGTTGGGGGTGGACACTGGTGGTGCTGTGTGGGTCTGACACTGGAGGTTGGTCCTGAGTATGGGCACTGCTACTGGGGATCAGCTTTGAATGCAGGTCCTGCCGTGGGCTGGGGGATATCAGTGGCTCCCAGGGGCTTTGCTTTGGGTTTGGGCTGCCTGTCGCAGCCCAGCTGAGAATTGGGGTCCTTGGCCATGCCCCTGTGTGCACCACAATTCCTGACACCTGCCAAGGAGGCTTTCTCCCAAACCTAAGGGAGCCTGTCTGTAAGCAGAGCGGGATGGAGGGAGCACAGTGCTGCGGTGGTGGAAGGAGCACAGTGCTGCAGCAGAGGTCAGGGTGCTCCTCAGAGGGTCCCAGCATGGCACATCCATGTGTGCTGGGCCCTTCACACCCCACGAGCACCTTTGGGAGACGCAAGCTTTCCAAATGCTTGCTTGTCTGGGCTGTGGTTTATCTTCAGAGGAAACCCATCCCAGCCGCTGCCTTTTCCTCCCCATGGGCAGAGGGGGGTTCTGCCTGGTTTTCAGCTGCCCGCAGGCATTTCATGCTGTGTTAACATGAGCTCTGGCACAGTGAGCATTGGATTAATGCTGTGGGGTTCAGACTGAAGGGACCTGGGCTGGCAAGGAGAGAGGGAGAGCCCCTGGGCAGCCTCAGGACCCAGATGTGCCCTGTCCCAAGCACTTTC